GTAATGAAATGTAAAATGGCATTTAACTGTCGAGGTATTTTGCTGGTGAGAGATTTTAATTAGTAGCTGTAAAAGCTAGTAAGCCTATTTGATTTGTTTTAAATAGGCACAACATGTTTCAGACCTTATTTTCCTGTTCCATGTTAAAATAAACCATTTTCAGTGGTACCACTGAGGTCATGGAAAATGAGGTAAAAGTCATGTAAAATCATTGGTGAAAAAGTGTATGAACCCTGTCTTCAAGTGTTTTTAAAGGTGTCTCCCTGTCTGTTCAGGTGGTCCTCTTCCTGTCTGTGTGTGAGAGGCTCGCCTTCTGTCCCGCCGCAGTAATGGAGGCATTCGCTTTAAAAGTGATAGAAAATCCCAAAGCTCTGACACTGAAAGACCTGCTCTGTGTGGTCAAGGTTTACTCCTCTCTCAACTACGATCTGCAGCACAGGAAACAGCAGTAGGTCTCTCACATGGCTTCAAATGACACTCATACACAGGCCCTACAATTCATATTTAGCAGTAGATATTGCAACTTGCTCTTTTTTTAGTTAGGATTTCTGCAACCTTTTTTTATTAAACAAATATTATTTATTTACAATGTCTTTGTTTGTCAGCATGGAGTGTATTGCTTGGGGTAAATGATCATCTACAAAGATTCTGACTATGACTCATACTGTATCATATTGGCAGGTTTTTATATAAAGTCTGTTTTTTTTTAATACATAATTTAAATGCCAACTGGCTTCCCTTTTGCTGTGGCAGGTTCCTGGATAGTCTGATCCCGGCTCTGGTCTCCTATCTGCCCAAGATGTCCAGCTTTGAGTTATTGAAGGCGGTCTATCACCTGTGTCTACTGGGCCACTTCCCCTCTGCACTCCTGGAGCCCCTCCTGCAGAGCAGCACACTGGAGAAGTTTAAATCCACAGGTAAGACAAGCAAATTCTTCTTTTTGTTTTATTCCCCCCACACTTGGACCTTTTTGGAGTTCATTTGATCCGATTCTTTTTCTCCTCAGATCCCAATTACCTCGCCAACCAGGAGAGGATGTTTCAAACGGTGAACTTGTGCCTCCATCTTGAGCATCCCGTGCTCCCTCAGCCCCTGACGGTACCCCCCGCTGTCCTGGGAGCCCCCGTCCTGGACAGTCGAGCTGTGATCCCGGAGCTCTCGCAGTGCCTGCAGAGTGTGATGGAGGACCAGGCGAACACCACTCTGCAGGAGAGGGTGTTGCTGTTGGGCTTCTACTTCATAGGTAAACACTATCTGGAATACTTCTTTATTTCTCTTCACGTCCCTTGCTAAGATGACTGAAGTATTTTGCTTGTGACTCGTAGATGGAGTGATAACCAAACCTCTGACGTCTGAGACTGATAGCGGCAGTGCAGAGAGCAGACCGAGGTAAGATCAGTCTGCAGGAGATAACATCAGCGGACACTTTAACACGTCTTCGTTGGTATTTTGTTTTTGATTTATCGTGATTAGGTGAGTTTGTCGTGACGAAAGGTGGAGAGGATGTTCAGTCAGTCGGGCAAATCTGATTCCACCATTTTTTTTACAGATTCTTTAATATCATTTTGAACTCATTTCAAGATTTAGGTACAATCTTTAGTCACTTGCTTTCACTGAGGAACACAGGATGGTAACAATTTAAGACATGTATTGAAAATGATGTGTTAAAAGGCTTATCCAGCAACTACCAACAGCTAAACAAATATAACTTTAAAAACGCTTTTTTCATTTGAAACCAAGACAAAAAAACCTATTAAAAATCAAAGAAACGTAATAACCCTGCCGTGTAAAGGTTAGTTGTCTTAACATTTCTGTCTTTTAACCAAACACCACTTCCCCCCCC